TGGCCCCCCCCCCCCCCCCCCCTCTCTCTCTTCATTGGAACTTTTTAGTGACCTCTTTATCACTCAAGATCAAAGACAGCCATAGAGAATCTTAAAAGCTCGCAAGACTCACAATTAAGTCTATTATGTTGTCAATTATAATCAAAGCATTGAACATAGCCAGCTATATGTAATCTTTTTTGGTATCTAAAGGTATGGATATGCATAGCTTACATTCACTTCATGCTGTTTCCTAAACACAAGACATGGTGATGTTCTACAGGTGCAATAAGTCCAACTATTAATAATTAAACAAGATACTCCTGATACCAGTTTAGATGAATTACCAAACACATAAGATAGATTATAAGCATATAAGAAAAATAGCTCAAGTGACATACTTAGCTTTGTCATCAGTTTCCTTATCTTCAGAAACCAGGCCATTCGCTTTCAACATCTTGCTTATTTCTGCAGCTCTTGCGGCAGCCAAATCTGTAGCAGTTTTCATGGTTGCAGCTCGATTAGCAGCTTGTTGTTCAGTCATAGCTTGCTGCATTAATAGGGCTTGCTGGAACTGCATCTGCTGCATTGCTACTGCTTGCTGCATCATCAAGGGCAAAGAAGAAGAGCCCATTGATGAATTTAAGACAGCTGCCTTTGGAGGAAGTTGTTTTGCCATTTCAACATTTAAGGGGCGACCACCAACTTCTATATTGTTCAATGCTAAAGCAGCAGTTGCTTCTTCGGGTTTTGAGTATTCGATGTAAGCAAAATGTTTGGATTCAGTAATGCTACAATCAATGATTGCACCACAGAAACCAAACAGCTGTTTCAACTGATCCACTGTCAGAAGTGGGCTGAGATTGCTGACTTGCAAAGTTCTTTTAAGGGATTCGGCCTTTCTATCTTTGTCACCTGATACATAAAGAAACATAAATAGCACAAAGAAGTAGAATGAGGTACACTCTCATGGATACATAGCAGAAATGTCAATATGCATTTTTAATTCTACACATCATATTTTATGATGAGTAGGTTGGGGAAGAAGCAGAGAGAAAGTAGTAAGAGCCTATCTGCTCTCTTTATGTTATAGAAGCAATATAGTTTGAAGAAACTTAAGTAAGAAAAGTTTATGAGCAGCCCCCAGTAACAAAAAAATATATAAATTACTTATTAGGCAATGATAGGAGATAGAAGTACAAGAAAAAAAATTCAAGAATCAATGTACAAGTGGACTAGTGGAGTAAGGAAATTTTAAGAATAACTCACAATAATCAACAAATAGGAGGAATTTATAGACAGTAATGAGAGCTAGAAATACCAGACGAATCTTTTCCAGACTGTGCTTGTGCCTGAGCAGCATGCGCTTGAAGAGCTTGTGCAGCAACAATTGCCTGAGCAGCAGCCATAGCAGCCGCAGAAGGTGCCATGGGCACTTGACTAAGTGTTCCCATACTGGTGGTTGCAGCTAGAGCAGTCATTAGAAGATTGTGAGGGGGGTGATTGAATTTGCAATCAGTTTTTGCACATCGTCCATAAAGGTACTCTCGGCAAACTTCCCCAATAGATGCTCCAATTCCAGGTAAAACTACACCTCCAGAAGCTCCAGGAACAATACCTGGTATCATCCCAAGCAATCCTGGGACTGCCCCAGATACAGAACCAGAATAGTTTGGCATATTAGGCATGTTCTGGTTGACCATATTTGGAAATGTGGTTGACGGTACTATACCCAATAGCCCACCAGTCGTACTGCCTGCGTGATACAAATACAGCATTAAATTCTTTAACATCTAGAATACAATGTTGAATTTTGTAAACCAAAACATGAGTACATCTTCATCATAACTATGTAAAATATCTAACATACTGTTACAGTTCCATGTTAAACGTCAACCATATCATTCCTCATTCAAACTACATCACAATATTAATGAGGACATCACAAAAAGAGAAAAATAAGAGTAAGCACAAGAGAACAGCAGTACCACATTTTATATATAAGTTCTGAAACAGATTCAGAGAGGAATGTTATAAAAGAAAAAATATAGTGAGAGTTATTCGAGAAAAGAACAGAAGGTGGGGTAGTAGTTTGAAAGCTTCTAGCCAGTATATAAAGTCCTTTTGCTTTTATGTGACTAAAATACGGTAACCAAGCAATAAATCAAAGACTGAGTCACATTCCTGCTATGATGCACCATCAACTTATGATCTCTGCTTCAGCCAAACCCATGCTGACACCTTTGTTGTCATCTTATCTTATCATGAATATGCCTAGACTCTTTCTACTTCCCATATAAAAACCCATAGCCAACACAAAAGAACTTGGGACATCTAATTGAGTAATTTATATTCTGAATAATTGGTAGTGGTAAGGTTATCATGGAATGAATTTTTAATAAAGTTTTAGCTCTAACAGGAATTTAGAAATGTTGACAAAGGACAAATGCATAGATCAAAAAAGTAGATATACATACTCACAGAAGGCACAAAAGTGAACACTGAACACACAAGAAGACAACATTCTATTTGGGGCAGAGCAAAATAATTATGGTGGAGAGGTGCAGCAGATACAATTCTAGACTACTGATGGGTGGTGAAAATTGTTCCAAAGGTGAAATAATATATTCCATTATTACATTGAGGTGCTACATATCTCATATCTAACACCAAACAGCTCCATTAAACTTGGGACAACAGAAATGGACTTTAAATCATCACAATTAAATAGGAGCCCCAATATTTTTTGAGGGGGCTTTTTTATGGGGCACCTATTGATTCTGATGTTTTAAAGTCCAAAACAACAACTAAAAGAACTCCACAAGCCATCCTGATACCAACAGAAATTATCAAGACAATTAACTAAATAGCATACGACGGAAATAAGAATTGACCAACCGCAATCAAATGGGACCTCATCTCAGCAATTCCATTGATACTAGATACTTTAAAAAAAAACACCTGTTTTTTAGTACGATAGCCAATTATTAATTCTGATTAGTAGAATTGATTAGTTTAGGTTATATAATTCAAGCAAGCCTTTAAAACGATGCAATCCATTTAATAAAACCAATATCATAGCCTCATTTGAGAATTTACAATCCAATCAACTACCCACATTTGACATTACCACAAACCACAATTATGATTAAACACAAATCAATCACATACTCACTTTGATCCAACTTTTAGAAGTCAAATCAGACTTCAGGTGAAAAGTATTTTAGAGTTTAGATAAATGTTATCATTCTGAAAAGAGTATCTTTAGTTCTTAAATCCAATCCTTTCCTAAAAAAGAAAACTCTACATAATTTTACACAGCTTTTTGAAAAATTTAGGCCCTCTAAATAATAAGCTATCCATTTTGCTCCATTGGAACACATTTAATTCTAATGTTAAGCAATTCACATTTCTTTAATACTAGAGTATCACTACAATTATTTCTAACCAACACTTTTCTAGGCAAACTAAAAAGATTTGGCGTATACTACTACACCTAATGTATGTTGCCATTGTCACTAGACCTTCATCCCAGCTAATTTTAGCATCTTTTGCTTCCCAAAGTTCTTTATTTTTCACTAAGCTAAGCTACCTGACGTAGGAAGTACAAAGCAGTAGGAAATTCACCACTCCAAGTGAAGAAAAAAGTAAACCTGTGCTGAAGAAAACAGGGAAAGGACTACCCATGATAGGCTTTCCATTACATTCAACATTCACCATATAATTTCCTCTCTTCTGAACAATATAACTCACTGTGTATGTCCCATCACCCATATCCTTCACAATTCCTTCCAAATCTGATCCTCCAACTCCAACACCAGGTGAAACTCTAATCTTAACGGTCGCCCCACCATGTGGTACCTTACGACCATCAGAATCCTTCGTCACAACGGTGAAAGTTGACGGAGCACACGCTGTTCCACCGGCGATTCCAGTGCCAGCGGCCGTACATTTTATAGGGTCAACCGGACCGATCGGCTTCTCCGCAAGCCTCTTCTGCTCATATTCCTCATCGTCTAAGTCACTGTCGGATGCGGCTGCGGCTGCAGTGACTGAAGCTTCGACGTTCTTAAACGTAGCATCGAAAGCAGCTTTCGCAGCCGCATCTTTCTCTGCTTCGCTCTTAAGCTTCGCTTCTTCTGCTTGCTTCGCCCATATCGGCTTCACCGCTGCCGTCACTGTAATCGCCGATGAATTGTTCCGATCAGCCATGTAACTGTAGCTACAAAATATGCTAACCCTAATTTTGGTCGAGGGATCTGTTGAAGGGCAAGACCGAAGAGAAATTGACCAAAGAAAAAAGAGGTGTCAATCTATAGAAACCTCAAAGTTATGGACTCGTATAGAATTAAAAGAAATTATGAGTACTTAAATGAACTTTTAATTTTATTCTTTTTACTTAATATTTTCAAATTTCCTTCTTTTTTTTACATGAATTTGCTCTATTTGAGACGGAGAGATTTTCGAAAATAGACTCTCCATCCATACGAGATAATAATAAAATCTACATTCAAACATTGCTCCCAATCGCCCTCCGGATCATGAGGAGCCAACCGTCTTATTCACTTGTAGGATTTCATTAAATATATTATTGTCATTGTTTCTATTTTTAAGTTTTGATCAATTTTGTGATTATTAAAAAAGTGTATATTTTTTTTTAAATTCCAAAATAAACTAACCTATTTATATTGTATTTTAAAAATCCTTTTTAAATTATCGTATTTTTGTTAATATAATGTACACATTCAACTCAGTATAAACTTATTTTTTTATTTTCATTCGGCATTCAATACTTGCATTGAAGCTCGATTAAATTCAAATTCGCATCGTGAAATTTCACATTCACGCACAAATTTTTTTATATGGGAATAAAACACTCCCTAATAAAGACCACTTTAAAGCTCGATTATATCTAAATTTGCACTAAAAATCCTACATTAGAAAGTAAATAGCAACTCTACAGCCTAGACGAGTCCGATACCTCATATGAAAGATCAAAACTCCACCACGACCCTTATTGTTAGAAACCAGTACAAAAAATTAAAAAGTAAAAAAACAAGCAAAACCCTTTGCCCGAAAAGAAACGAAAGTGAACATAAAAACCCATTTTTTACATACGACGGTCGACGCCTCTTCTCTAATACTTAAACCCTTTTGTTAAACCTCTTTCTTCTTAGCTTCTTCTTCTTTTTTTCCTTTTCCCCACAGCCGAAATCTACTTACAGTGGGGGCAAAGCAATTGGGGATTCAGCAAATAATGGCAACACATTCAGATATGTATGCTGTTAAATCTCTCAACAAATCCCCCGGTCGCCGCCGTTTTACTGTAAGTTATTTCTTAGTTTTCTGAGCCTGTTTTAGAGTTGTTACATGTTATATGAAGATATGGTAGTCGAGGATTAAGGTACAAGTTTTGTAAGTAGTGGAATTTTATTAGTATTGTTACTCTCTTACCATTGCTTCAATTTTAGTATTACCTTGTTGTTTTCCTTTGCTATAGTAACTGTATAATTTGTTGTTGCTATTGTTTTTACTTTTTAATCTCAAGGTATCGAAAACAACCTCTCTACCTCCCAACCTTAACCTCGTTAGAAAGCAGAGTTGGCTGACTGCCGGTATATCTTTTATGTCACCAGCCACATAGTCCGCCGCAGCGTCTTTCACTTGTGGGGATTACAGTGGGTTTGTTGTTGTTGTTGTATTTTCATAAACTTTACTGCCTCTTGTTCAATTTTTTCTTATTTTCCTTTTTAGTTCGTTGAAAAAGAATGCATTTTTCCTTGTCTGACAACTCTTTAGTTGTAATTTTTCATGTAGCATGTTTAAGATGACAAAATTAAAGGGTATCTTTGGTACATTTAGTCTATCTTTAATTTAAAAACCACAAATTTAAACATCTTTTTTTACTTTCTTAAATTTAGTGCCAACTAACAAATTGAAACATAGGGAGTGCATATTATGTGAATGATGCTCTTTGTTTCTACTATTAATGTTTTGAGGCGGCCTGAATATATCAACTTATTTGCAGTTGCTTGTTCTTCTTCAATTGTAAGATTTAGTGTCTATGTCAAGGGTAGTTATGTCAGACGCTTTGACTTACAGTCGAGCCTACTAAATGTGCAATTGCTGATAGCCTTTTTGCTAGTTTATGATGTAAAAAGTATGCATAACATTAAGCAATTTTTTACGTCTAAAATTTGTACATGAGTCCATTGTACTCATTTTTGTTGCACCTATGATTGTCAATTGTTTCTTTCCTTTTGTGGGGATTGAATTTATTGAATTTTATGTATGGTGAAGTTCAAGACATTTTCAGAGCGGATTGAGGATGTTGACATTGATGTGTACAGAAATCTTGACCCTTTAAAAGCTGAGCCCACTGAAGGTTCCTCCTTCTTCCGGGATTGTATTACAGAATGGAGAGTACGTACTTTCATATTGTTGTTTGAAGATTTCTTTTACCTTATATGTAAAAATTGTTGAATATTTAGTTAATTCTTTGTTTTGGGAGAATTTCATTGTTTCAACTGTTTTTTTCATGTTGAATTTTATTAACTTTATATTTCATCTGCGGAGTGTGAACTTTTTTCGTTTTGTTAGCGTGACAATTACAAGTCTTCTGTTTAGAGATCTTTTATATGGGCTTGAACTTGATGTTGGCGAAAAATTGTCAGCAAATCAATTCTGTTGATGATGTTTTGAGAAGTGGGATGAAGCTGTTGTTTCACAAAGTCTTAGAATTAAGTTTTGGATAATGTTAACATCTTTTTGCATTTGATTATGTTTACATTTTTGTATTTGAAGAAGATCCAAACAGTTCGTAAGGGTTCAATCAGGATTTCTTTTCCCTATGAGGCTGTAAAACAAAACACAGAAACAGTTGGTAAAGAGTTCTATAAGTTTCTCCATTGTCCAAATAGTTTGGGATCTGGTACGTGCGTTTGGTTATAGTTTCAGTGCTTATAAGCACCAGTTCAAGCACATTCAACTCTTAGAGAAGTATTAATGTTGTTCGAAGAACTTGCAAGAAGTGCCCATTAGGCATTACACCAGATCCGACACATATATGTCTAAGCAAATGAAGAGTTCATGCAATATAGCTTCTGACTGCTTTGCCATTTGATTTTGAAGTTCCTTTCAACTGCTTTTGATTGTTTGTTTCTTAAATTTTAGGATGTTTTGTCTTTTCTTTTTTGGATTTCCACTTATTTCTCTTCTCTTTTTTTGGGACAAAATAACAGGAATTAAACACTGCAGAGGATTTTATTTCATTTTATGAGGAAATATTTCCCTTGGTACAGACGCTACCGCAAATTATACTGCAGAAGGAACTGATAGTCGCAAAGCTTCTTTTGAGACTGGACATGAAAGGGAGACTATCCCTTGAGCCAATCCTCGGGTATTCTGGGAACTTACTGGATTCTTTTATTGATGATTCACTTGGTTTTTGCTTTTGTCGTCTTGTGAACAGTACATCTTTTTCTCTCTAGTTTCGGAAGTTCACCGCCTCTTATATCTGAAAAGATTCATAATACTAAAAAAAATAGATTCTGATTGACCAAATTAAGAGCTTTCATGAACAGGAAAAGACTTTCTGATAAAAGAGATAAATAAAAATGTACAGGGAAAGACTTATTGAGGTTTCTTGATTTGTTCTCATTTGAATATAACCCCTTTGCTAGTGGTGAGAGCACGAAGCATGATGTGTGGGTTAGGCTCAAATCACGGGTTCAAACCCTGCCACAGAAAAGTGGGTATTTAAGTGGTGTAGGAGGGGGGTTATCTACCAAGTTTTGAACTACGCGCCACTGGCCTCAGAGATTTCTCAGTTATAACAAAATAAAAAAGAAAGAAGAAAATATTACTCCTTTGATTGTTTTTGAAGCATAAATGCTACTTTGTTATCTACTTCAGAATTACATTAGGCTCTCAAATCTCCTAAAAATATTCCTATATCTGTAAAGTGCTTAACTATTCCTAGAATTACATTATTGTTCCCATCATTTTCTTAATAGAGCGACAGAGATAAAGTGATTAACTATTGCTTTTTCCTCTTTATTGTCAAGTCCCGTTATTGATGAGCTATAGTTATCTGTAGGTTGATTGCAGCCTTATCTAGAGATCTCCTGGAGGACTTCTTACCGTGAGTGCTGCTTCTATCTGATTTTCTTCTTGCTTCATGCCGATGAACATTGTGGGGATTGTTTAGCACCTTGCTTTTAGTTTCACAACAGTAACATTTGGAAATAGTATCGTCATTTCTGGGAACAATTCCCTAATATTGTGGCCGCTGCTGTCAGTTTTTCTTGCTTATCTTGTTTGGCTGTCTTTTTGTTTTTATCCTTCTCATTTTGCAGATATTATCTTCATATTTTAAATTGATACATTTTTTTTTTGAACTTGGTAACTTTGTATTATATCACAAAACAGTACATGGGTCGTACTGTAACCTTATATACAAGTGTACTCCTGATTTCACTTCTCTACGTCTAAATTGGGTCTAACACATCAATAATAGAGACAGTGTGATTAGAGTATAACTGATTACACCAAAAGACTAAAAGTAAAATGCAGTTTAGTTTAACTTTCTGCACATTGTTCTCTATGCTCTCAAAACATCTTGAATTCCTTTCTTTCCAAACAGCCCACCAGATAACCCCCGGGATAATTCTCCATCTACCTCTGTCCTTAGCATGTACACCTGCTTCCTCCCAGCATAGTAATGCCTCAGCCACCTTCCTGGGCATTGTCCAGGAGATGCCTTTGAGGCTTAGGAATATTCTCCACAGATGATGGGTGTACTTGCATGTAAAAATAGATGGTTATGGTTAAATTGATACATTTTGTTGGTGTCTGTTTTATTTGTTTCCCTGTTATGTTGCTCGGACTTTTCAAAAAGGTCAACGGATGCATGTCGGATTCTCCAAAAGTAGTGTATTTTGAAGAATCTGACACGAGTTCAGCATTGAAAGAGAAGGGTTCGTGCAACTTAGTTTCCCTGTGCTTCATCTGTCTAATTTAACGGTGTCATGAATGGTAAAAAATATTCCATATGACCTTGAAGACGTTTAGTATTTGTGGGTGTGTGCAGATCAACCCAGTACTAGAACTTCTACAAGTTTGGCATAAAGAACATTTCAACAGTTTTACCCATATCTTTATGCTAGCTTATTCCACTATGTTCTAATACTTCAGTAATTTTATGCATGCAGAACAGGTTTTAGTTGTTCCTTTAATAATTCTAGTCGTATTTTTGTTGCCAGCTTTCTCCAGAGGATTGCTGACTCTTTGGCGTGTCTTCTCAAAAGTGGTGCTGATAGAGAACCAGATATAATTGAGCAGGTACTGGGTTTTGCGCAAAGAAATCTTTAGTATGCCAGCCTCAACATTATCTTCATATCTGATCTGAATTCTTCTTTGTTGTTTTGCAGATTTTCAGGTCATGGTCTTTTATTATGATGTACCTGCAAAAATATCTTGTTAAAGATGTTGTTGATGTTCTAAAGTAAGTTTACCCAACTATCAAAGCTTCACTTTGCAGATATGACTGTGATTCTCTGTCAATTCAGCAGATTATACTTATAAGTTGTTCTCTGCAAATAATTGGAGGTTCCACTTGTTTTGGGTGTTAGTAAGTAGCTTATCCCTCTCTCTCTCCACAGGGTAACAGTACAATTAAGATACTATCCCAAGGAGTATGTCCACGAATTTATGGCCGACTCAGTATCATTCATATTGAGGAATGCTCCTGTTAAACAACTTATAAAAGGTATTCTACCTGTGTGCCTGTCATGTGTTCTTGGAGAAATTTCTATTTGTAGAGATGTAGTTGCAAAAGAATATTTGACCTGACCTGTTTTAAGCTATCAGTTTCAAAATGTAATAATCAACTGTTTCTATGTCTTAACTTTGTATATCACTCCTTTATGACCCTTTTTGATGACTTACTATCTTATAGCTTTTAATGCTTTGGGGTTAAACAATTTCGTCATCTCCAAGTCTAAAGAAATGAAATGCATGGAAAATGGCATAATTTGTGTTTATGAACTTTTTAGGTGCCATTTCAAGTATATCTGTTATGGCTGTATTCTTGTTTGCTTCTTTTGGGACTGATTTACTATTATGTATTATCGCCTTTCATCGTAGTTAGAACTATTTGGCTGAGCAGGGAGATTTGGTCTAATTTCCTTCATTGTTACCGTCCTTACTCCCTGTTCTATTTATTTCATGATCTTTTGTCCTCTTGTGCTGTGTGCTACATTCAAATGATTACATAGGCAATGCACTTATGGAAAGAGTTAACATGACCAGCTTTTGGTGCTCTTAGTTTTGCCCCTAGTAGATCTTATCCTGCTCATTATTTAGACCTTAAAGTTTTAATGATGTTCTTTATACAGCATGATGCTGGACTGTATTATGTCAATTCGTTATTATGTTTTTTAAAGCTTGTGGCAGAGAAGTGCAGAAATATGACTTCAAATGGTCAAGTGTTTTGCAATAAGTTAACTGTTGTTTCTAAACAAAATATTGATCAAGCAGAACAGGGTTTTCTCTTTTAGGTGCTAAATGCTAGTTATCAGTGAGGTAGTTGAGAAGACTAGGAAAAGAAGCAAAATACCTATTATGGCTCAGTTCCTTTCTAGCATCTGGGTTCGGCATCCCATTGTGCAAATCAAGAATTTATCATAGAAATCCTGATTTAACCCTGATAAGAACCGTATGACGATGACTCATAGACCATTTGTTTCTGAATCAGAAGAATTTAACTTCATCAGAAAAAAAAGATCAAGAAGTACTAAAGAACTGACTAGTAAATAAGCTTGTACAAAGATTTCTGTAAACAAACCCTGTAAAGAGATGCTCAATGTCTGGCAATTTTCTCTTTGATATGCCTGTTTCATGGGAATATAACAGTAAGAATCCTAGGCTGAAATTAGAAAACATTAGTCTTCAAAAAGAAGTGTTAAATACCATCAAATTTGTTATGAATGCTCTAATATTCTCAAGCATCTCGGTAGTTCCAAATAGGGGCTTAGGATGTATTGTCACTCTTCCTATGCCTAGACAGAGTAAAAATGCAGTTGTTGCTATTAGATATTCAGATTTTCTGGAAATCAACTCGAGAGGTATCACTTTGCAGTTCCTTCTTGTTCTGATCTCTTTCGTGTATCATTCTGTTCATACATGTTTTTTGTTTTTATGATGGGTGAGCAAGGTAAGCACACTGCTATCTTCAGCTAAACATTCCTCATTGCTATTAACTTCTTGAAACCAACAGGAGTGAGGAAGCTTATGTTTGAAGTTGCGAAGAAGCCATTGGAAATAAGAAAGTCCGCTGTCAGTTCACTATTGTGGTATGTTGTGAGAGGAAGCACCTCAAGGTTACACTCAAGGGCTGAACAAGTGTTACGCCTACTGACTGACAAGTCTCTGTTTGTAATAGGTGATCAGTTCACAGGGGGTAAGCTCATCTACCATTGCAGTACTTTCTATTTTGCTGCCTGCAGAAAATTCGAAGTGCTAGCTCCGTATAAAATTGCGCTTAGATCTTTCCATGTTCTATATTTTCAGGTGGTAGGATATACAAAATTTACTGTGATTTACATATGAGCTTGAGGAGAAATGTCTAAAAATTTAACATAAAATTTACTGTGATTTAATCATGTATGCTCAATTCATATTAATGCTTTCTTTGTATCTAATGGTTTTAAATATTGTTGGAGCAATGAAATTGTTAAAGCCTTATAAGAAATGGAAGTGTTATTACAGTCCGTCATATTGTTGGGTCTAGCTTTTCCATTTGACGTGTTTTTTGGCAAAGTGTAGGTGTTGAGGCTATTCTTGAAGTTCTTGTTCTAGCACTGCAGAGATTATGTGAGGAATTGGAAGCTACAGAGTTGGAGTTGATGTGGGTTTGCTTATATGAGGAGATAACGGAGTGTGTATCTCAAGGCCACCTATTGCACCTTGGTCGCCTTTTATCCCTTCTTGTTTCTACCCTGCAAGCTAGTTACATTCAGAAAATTTCTGGTAGGCTATAAGCGATGTTCATGTGCTTTGCCTTGTACATTATGAAATAGTTTTCTAAGATATTTTGCTTATTCCAGATTACCAAGGGGTGCTACAATTGATCCAGTTACTTGTACAGACTTACATTCTGCCTTATCCTACTGTGAAGGCAATTGATCAAACATCAAACATTGTTGACAAAGTTATGCAGTCAATGCTTTGCATTCTTGATGGTCTATATAGAGCTAATAATATTTCTACTCTCTCTTCTGTTTCAATGCAATGGGCTCCTGTGTTTGATTTGAGGAATAAGAGGTATTGCCTTTCTTTTGCAAATGTGAGCTTGTCTTCCAGGTGATATTTCTTGCTTGTTTCCCTAACAATTGCCTAATGTTGTAGTTTGCTGTCTTTTGTCGAAGATCTTCTATTGAAGGACCCTTGCATTGTCCATTTCTTCAGAGCTAGCATTATAAGGTCCTGCCCTTGTCCCTGGCTTCACTTTTGCACATGAAAGCACACTTCATGGGATGAATTGTGGTTTCTTGTTTTTTGGTATTTCTTTATATGTGATAATTAATGGTTGCTAACTGATCTTTAATCTTTGAATGACATTTCAGTGCATTAAATGATATGATTGAGATTTCAGAAGAAGAGGTTATACATTTGCTGCAGATCTTTTTTAAGAGGCTGCCAGCACAAGGGCATAGCTTCTTGGATGAAGTTCCAAATGAGAAGCTTTCAAGAATTCGTAGTTTTCTCCGAGAAGCCATTGGCCGCTGGATTCGGCGGATTCAAAAGGAACCATATTCTACCCAAATTGAAGAAAATGAGTTAGCCATTCTGTGGGGAATCGTAGGCTGTTACCCTATAGCAGGTGGTTCAGCGAATGAGTCATTGCTAATGGACTTGGTTAATGCTCTAGATGAGCTTTTGAGTACTGAATCTGGTAAGACATGTTATCTGAGATGAGTTAGATTCCTTAGGGAGAAACTTAGCTATACAAAGTTCTATACCACCTTTGGTATTTATGGGACAAAAAAGAACAAATATTTCACACACCAAGTGCTAAAATTTAATTGGGGGATGTTCATGATATGGACCTTAGTGCCTATATGCTAGAATGTGTCATCTGTTTCTAAAAGAAGCGAATCTTTGATGACCTTGTTGCTGTGAGTCTGTGACCTTCCCCCTCCCCCTCCAATGTATAGGGAATTTTTTTTCACTAAAACTTATTACATGTCTCTCTTTCTGACTGTCCTTTGTGTGCTTTGCTTTTCTTAGCTGACATTGCTGGGCATCCCAGAACTACCTGGCAGAGCTTGGTTGGTGCTGCATTGGGTTCTTATTGCAAGTCACTGACCAATCAAAATTCCAGATTTGATGATTCTGTCGTAAGCAGTTTCTTAGATCTGGCAAGGAAGCACAAGACATGTTCTCACGTGTTGTCTCCAGTAGCTGATTTTTTGGATTCAGTTTGTGGGTATGTTCATATTTGTTTGAAAATCAGGTTTGTAACTCTTTTTACTCCTTTCAGTTGGTAACCCCTTTACAATTATGCTTGAAGGTCCATAATCCAAGCTGATGCAAGCACTAAAAAGTTTCACCCAGAGCTTGCAGTGAGTAAGTTGGTGGATGCCTTAGGCGTGTTTGCTGCAAATTTGAGCCACCACGACAAGAATTTGCGGCTTTCGACATTGAGAATATTGTGCCACTATGAACCTTTGACTGATGTCAGTTCTACTAATGAACGGCCCCTTGAGAAGAAAATGAGAATGGATAATCCTCAGACCACTCTTGTGGATTACCATGGCAATAATGTATGAATGTGATACCTTCTCCTTTGTTATGTAATTTCTTCTGTCACTAATCCTTTCCTGGTTATTTCCAGGTGATTCATCTCCTACTTTTGATTGAAGAAACGCCTCTTTCTATTGTGACCAGTAGAAAAGTCATCCTACTGATATCCAAAATACAGATGAGTTTATCTGCTGGGAGGGTAGCTGAAGAGTATATGCCTGTTGTTCTCAGTGGAATTATTGGAATCTTTCATAACCGTTTTAGCTATTTGTGGAACCCAACATTGGACTGCATAGCTGTCCTCCTCAGTCAATACTTTGGGCTGTTGTGGGACAGATATATTGAGTACCTTGATCATTATCTGTTTGTTTTTCTGGGTTCTCGTGATGAAGCTGCTCAAAGCAAGGGGGAATCGTTAGAAACAGCTAATAGTATGTTCCATCTATTTTATCCCAGATCTCAAAGATAAATTTTATCTGTTGGCTAGCTTTTCTTTTACTCCATACAGTCCACTGGCTATTCTTTTTTGTCCACAGTGGTTTTACTTATTAATTATTGTGATATATATTTGCAGATTTGAATGGAAGCTTTAGGTCTTATGTCTGTCCGGTGTCTGATGATGCGTCATGTGCAACAGTTTTTTCCTTGTTGATTCAGTGCTTACAGAGAATTCCATCTGTTGCTGAATCGCGTTCACGACAAATCATCCCTCTGTTCTTGAAGTTCCTAGGCTATAATATTGAAGATCTTAAGAGGTTCATTTTATTTTTCAACTATAGTTTTTAAGGTTTGCAGTAAGTGTGTGCGCTTCTATCCTCTCCAGTTAACCAGTGTTTATCTGCTTGTTCTGGAAAATGCAGTGTGGAGTTATACAATCAGGAGGGTTCTAAGGGGAAAGAGTGGAAAAGTGTTCTTCAAGAATGGCTGTCCTTATTCAGACTGATGCGAAATCCTAGGTCTTTTTATCTCAATCAATTCTTCAAGGAGGTTTTGCTGTACAGGTTTGCGTTTTGGATTATTCTCAACAGTCAAAATTTGTGTACTTCATTAAATCTTTTTTGAGGTTACCTATTAATTGTATTCTTCCTTCTTTTTTTTTTATTTATTTATTTTGGGGTGGGGGATTCAGACTTCTCGAGGAAGATGATGCTGACATGCAAAGTAAGGTCCTTGATTGCCTGTTAAATTGGAAAGATGACTTCTTACTTCCGTATGATCAGCATCTAAAAAATCTGATCAATTCGAAAAGTCTGAGGGAGGAGCTCACGACGTGGAGCTTATCTAGGGAATCAGATCTTGTTGATACAAGGCATAGAGCTTTCCTTGTGCCTGTTGTTATCAGAGTACTGTCTCCAAAAGTCAGAAAGTTAAAGGCGCTCGCTTCTCGTAAGGTATTTATCAAATTTATTCAATTTTCTCTGACCTCTAGTATCATAGCTTTTTGTTTCCTGTTCTTTACGTTCTCTTCTTTATTTACCATTTCCAGTATAATACGGTAACTTAATGCATTATTTGTCTCAGCATGCAAGTGTCCATCATCGAAAGGCGATTCTTGGCTTCTTATCTCAGCTAGATGTTGAAGAGCTTCCTCTTTTCTTTGCTTTGCTAATAAAACCCCTTGTATCGGCTTCACAAGGTGCTGCAGCAAAGAGTGCATGGCCCTGGACTACACCTGGAGTTCTTCAGCATGGGCTTGACTCATTTAGTGTCTTGGAGCATTTTTCCAGAGATTGTATCAATGTCATTTCATGGAAGAAGAGATATGGTTTTCTACATGTAATTGAGGATATTGTAGCTGTTTTTGATGAAGTGCACATTAGCCCTTTTCTTGACCTGTTAATGGGATGCATTGTGCGTCTCTTGGACAGCTGTACATCAACTCTTGAAGGGACACGAAATGATGGGACGCTGGCAGATCATGCTCACCAAGTAGAGGATAAAATCGTGGTAATGTCATCATCTGCTGTACTACAGCCTAGCAGGTTTACTTTTAGAAAAAAAAGACTGATGTTGTTGCCCAAAATATTGTATTAGGTGGTTGACACTTAATATTAATAGTAAATGATTTTGTATATCCCTTGATTTGGTTTTTGGAGGTTGACAGTATTAGTATTCCTTTCAGATCACCCTTGAGCAATAACCTAAAAGAGGTAGCTTTTTTGAGGGTGGTTTGGTCAACTATTCATAAAATTTATGGCTTAAAATGGGGAAGGGATGGGAGGTACGAATTTTCCCATTTTTCCAGTTAGAGTAAACTTCATTTTGGTTTTAATAGGCGACAGGAACACTCTGTATAGTATGCCATTTTCTTTTCATGGGTATTTATGTTTGATCTCGAGAGGAATCAAGAACTTTTAACTGCTGCTAACGTAGTTTTCCTCTATATAATCTCTGAGAAAACTAAAGGAAACTTTGTGTTTCGGTGTGGTTTGTAGAGGAGTATCATGAAGGGGTGGGAGGAAGCTAAACAAATTAAGGGACACCTTTAAGGGCCCTTAATTTGTTTGGTATGCAATGGGTGATGCTGGGTACTGTGAAGGAAGTTGTGCAAAGTTGGACCCATAGAAGGGGGGAAGAGAAGCCCAAGGACATGGGGTGTTGCCCCTTTAGCAATCATGTAGATCATTTGGAAAGAGAGCAGTAAGATTGCATTTGAATGGGTGGAACTAGATTTTGTGAAAATGCAAATTAGTGTTTTATCTCTAGTTTCTTTTTGGTGTATTTGTGAGGTCCCTATTTGTATGGAGGATTGGATCATTTTTGTTGAGAACCATGTTTTGGTGTAGGTTCTGAACTTTTGATATATGGTTTGCATACAGGGTTTCCCTCAATTGATAATCAAATTATTCCTTATTAGAAAAAAGGCGGCTCTGTGTTTGTGGTGAAGTTGTGAATTGAATGAAGAAATACTTATTAACCAGTATTTGAAAATACTGTATAGAAAAATCTTATTAACCAATGTCTTGGTTTTTGTGCAGACGAACATGGCTGCAAAGCAGTGCAAGGATTTGAGATCTTTATGCCTGAAGATCATCTCTTTTATCCTTAGCAAATTTGAAGATCATGATTTCAGTCCTGAATTTTGGGATTTGTTCTTTATGTCAGTAAAACCCTTAGTTGCCAGTTTCAAACAGGAAGGTGCTAGTAGTGAGAAAGCAAGCTCGTTATTTTCTTGTTTTCTGGCTATGAGTAGAAGTTCCAAACTTGTGCCTCTGTTGTCCCGAGAAAAGAACCTTGTACCTGATGTATTTTCGATGCTAGCAGTCTCAACAGCATCAGATGCCATCGTTTCCTCAGTTCTTAAGTTTGTGGAGAATCTGTTATATCTTGATATTGAGCTAGGTAATGAAGACAACCCACTTAAGAGATTACTGCTTCCTCACGTTGATGTACTAGTATGCAGTTTGCATCATCTTTTTGTACATGACGGTGCACATAAGAGGTATGACAATGTGAAATTTACGTTGTTGCTTTAATTTTTTTTCCCTCTTTGAAGATTGTGTCAATTTATAGGACTTCAATATCATGCTCAAAATTGACCCATATGCTGAAAACATTTCTTTGCTGGTTATAGCTTATTGCACAAATCTTTAAATAACTAATCCATGTAAATCATATATTCGTTTGGCTTGCGACTTACCAGCCTCGAAATTGTTCCTTAGCTGATATTACAAATTTTAACAGTCACCTCAGGATATGATGTCTTATGACATTTTAACAATTAGAGAGCCTATCAAAATGTGTTATCTTCACATCAAATGTGGTTGGATAATAATGTACATAATGCTCAAGTTTTGTCTGACCACAGTTTTACTTGCACTTGTAAGTGCTAACTATGAGTATTCACATAGGACTCAAATATCATCTTAAAGAATGTAGTGGCACTCTTAAACAACTATCTAGGTCAGTGAAGGAAAATTCTATTTTGAAGAAGTACTCAGTATGAACTTATCTTACTGGCACCTCGTACATTGATTCTTAATGCTTCATCAGCGTCCTGTTCCTTTTCACTATCGATTTTCTTCGCTGCTATTTGGAGCTACCAACTTGAGTTTGTATTGGCTTGTTCTTTTATTCTAATTCATTTTTTCTTAAATTGATGGGGATTAGTGAATCGTTTCCAACGATAAATTTAATCTGACTTATATATGAGCGGGAGAGAAAGAGAGTGGATGGAGGTAGGTAGGGACAGATCCCCCCGCGCACACACAAAAAAAAGGAAAGAAAAACACATGTATGCTTCCCAAAAAAAAGGAGGAAAGAAAAGAACACAAAGTATGTTCCTGTCCAACTAAATCTTTTTCTTTGTAGTTTTCTAGCTTTTTCTTCCATAGTTCTCCCACCCCACAACTACAAGAGAGAGTGTACGTGTCATCCACCCTATATGGCTAAGTGGACTTAGCATGCTCTTTATGTAATTAAGTGTTATATGAGATGCACTAGCATCAGTTCTCCTCTTAACTGATGTATTCACTTTTCCAGGAAGATTGTCAAATATCCTGGGGAAAAAGAGCTCAATGTCTTCAAGCTTTTATCGAAGCACATAAAGGGACCATTGGCTGCAAGGAAGTTTCTTGACATCTTGCTTCCGCTTCTGTCAAAGAGATCCAAAGACCCTGGTCAGAGTCTCAGTTTTGTCTTACAGTTTAGGTGGACCTGTTTGGTCTCATGTCCTTGCTCTTTTTCTAAGATTACCTTTCTTTCTGGTTGCAGAGATTTGTGTAGGCACTTTACAGATTATTAAGGATATTGTAGAACCATTGGGTAGTGAAAGCAGTAAAAAGACCGTCAAATCTGTTTCTCCACTCGTAATTTCTGCTGGCTTGGATGTCCGTACTTCTATTTGTGATGTTCTTGATGCTGTCGCAGGGAATGATTCTTCTGTACATCCTACGGTATTACTAGACCATCTAGTTTTCTTTTGAACTTGATGCTTTAGGTGTTTGTTGACGTGTAACACCTCTTAATTTCATACAGGCAAATCTTCTTCGTGAATTGAATGCGACGTCTACTGTAGAGTTGGGAGATCTTGATTATGATA